GAGAGAGAGAGAGAGAGAGAGAGAGAGAGAGAGAGAGAGAGAGATGTGGCCAAAGACCCCTCTCCATTTGTCCACGTGCTCGGAGTCCTCTCTCTTGGGCATGTGGGCTAAGCGCCCACCACTATCTTTCTTTATTTTATTTTATTTTTCTGTTTTTAAAATGCTTAGTACTTGGGTGATTCCACTTGGACTCGCCCGGGTAACGTGGCAGAGGCTAGGGCCGAGCCTTGGTTTGAGCTGAGTTCTCAAACACTGGTATCAAACTATAACCCTTTGTTCTTGCAATACTAGTTTAAGTTTAGGAGACGGAATGATGAGATATAACAGTTTATATGTTTCATTGAATGCATTTGATACTACTTTCAAGCAAGCTCCTTGGTGCATCACCCTCTCCCTCTTCAAAATTGTATCCACGTGAGCTATATTAACCTTGTTGTGCTCATGTTCGGTTTAAAGATTGCATTATTCATTTTCTTATGCATCATCATCATCATCATCATCCAAGCCTTATTCCAATGATTTGGGGTCGACTGCATGAATCATGTTCTTCCGTTCTTTTGTATCAAGGGCCATACCCTCAGTAAGATCAAAAGTCATCATTTCTTTTCTTATTATTTCTATTTGCTTCCCCTTGCCCATTTAGAGCATTCTACTTGAACCAACTCACGTCTCTTAACCGGTGTTGTAATAAGTCTATGCTGTACATGTTCAGCCCACTAAAGTATATTTTCCCTCTTCTTATCGCCTCCTGAAGCCGCAATTAAGTTCCCTCATATATATTCATTATGAATTTTATCCTTTTTTGTCTTGTCACTCATCCATATCAAAATCATCATCTTAGCTACGCTCGTCTTATGGGATGTGTTGTTTCTTGCTATAAAGCATAGTTAGTCTTATAACCGTTCTAGAAAACTTCTCCTTCAATCTCAATGGTTTGCGGTGATCACATAAAACTCTGGATGCATGTCTCCACTTTGCATACCCAGCTCTAGTTCTATGTGCGACATCTTTCTCAATCTCTCGATTCTCCTAGATTATCGACTCTAGATATCAAAAGCAATATCTTTTAGGTAAACTTGTATTCTACATATTCCGTCTTAGTCCGAATTATTTAAAATCTTTAGATTCTAAAGTATCCCTCTAATGTTCTAATTTTGTATTTGATGTTGCCTCTAGTCTCATCGATCAAAACTATATCATCCGTGAACAACATATATCACAATACCTCATCTTGTAGGTACTTGGTTAACTCGTCCATAACCAAAACAAAGAGATATGGGCTCATCACTGACCAGGCCCATTGTCATTGAGAACTCACCTGTCTTTCCACCAGTTGTCTGCACACTAGTTAGTGCTCCCTCGTACATATCTTTCACTGTATCTATATATCCTCTAGTGACTCTTTTTTTTTCCAACATCCACCAAATTAAATCTCTAGGTACCCCTATCGTATGCTTTCTCTAAATCAATATGCTTTCCCTGCGCCTTAAACTTCTCAATCAATTGTCCAAGTACGAAAATGACTTCGTTAGTTGACACCTTCTTGGTATAAAACCAAACTGATTTTCGGATACACTTGTTTTATACCTTAGCCGTTCAACCACTCTTTCTCACGGCTTCAAAGTGTGGCTCATTAGTGTAATCCCTCGATAGTTGGTGCAATTTTCTATGTCTCCTTTGTTCTTATAAATATGCACCACAATACTTTTTCTCCATTTGTCTGACATTTCTTTGTTCTCAACACCTTGTTGAACAATTTGGTAAGCCAACATATGTCAATCTCCCCTTTGCACTTCCAAACATCTATCAGGATGCCATTTGGTCCTAAAGCCTTTCCTTTCTTCATCGTTCTCAAAGCTTCTTTCACTTTTAATATCCTAATCTTATGAATTTAGCTATGCCCTCCATCCTCATTTATGTCAAAGGTTTCTCCTAATGTTGTGTTCCCCTAGTGTTCGTCATTTAAGAATTTTTGAAAATAAATTTTCCAGCTTTTGTTGACCTTGTCATCTTTCACCAGGATCCGCTGATCCCCACTCTTAATGCATCTAATGTGGTATAGATCCCTACACTTCCTCTCTTTCATTTTTGCTAGTTTGAAAACATCATATGTTTTAAGTTTAACCTTACTATTTTCTTAGTGTTTTTTTTTGAATTTTTATATTCTTCTAAGTCTTGATCATTTCTATTAAATTACCAAGCGTTATAACATGATCGGTTTTTTCTAATAGCGTTCTAAACCTCCTCACTCCACTACCAGATTTCTTTGTTGAAAATTCTTTTCCCTCTAATTTCTCCTAAAGCTTCTATTGCCACTTTCTTAATACAATCAACCATCTAATTCCACATAGCATTAACTTCGTGCTTAAATTTTGATTTTTCTTATTCTACTAATGTATCCCTAAATAAGTCTATGTTCTCCTTTTAGTTCTTGGACACCTATTAGGTTCACTCTTTCTTTTCCATCTCTTTAGACAAACATTCATAACCACGAGCCTATGTTGCATAGTCAACCTTTCTCTTGGGATAGCATGACAGTCTTTACAAGATAGTCGATCTACCTTCTTGATCAGAAAGAAGGCTATGTGGCTTTTATTTGATCCACTTTTATATGCTATTAAATGTTCATCCTGCTTTTTGAATCCATATTCCTCTTCACCAGGGCCTCTTTCCTCCTCCCTTTTCTGCTCACTAGTAGGGGTCCGGACCCCAACAAATGGGGAGGGAGCCGATTGAACATCTTAGCCATTGGCGGGAATGTCACCTGCATCTGATCCCCAGTTCTTGTTCACCCAGTTCAGGTGCAACTGTTTTCTTGCTTGTCTTCGCTGGCTCGAAAGCCTATATGCAGGCTAGCGCACTACGTTTTCTTTGCAGCTAGCGCGCACTATGTTTTCTTTGCAGCTAGCGCGCACTATGTTTTCTTTGCAGCTAGTGTGCCCTGTAGGTTGCTCCCTTGCTTCCCTCCTACTTACTAATAAT